GGGGGACTATAGGGGAATAGTGCTTCCTGGCATCTAGTGGCCAGAGGCCAGGAACACTGCTAAACAGCCCCACAACAAACAATGATCTGGCCCCACATGTCAATGCGCTGAGGTTGAGAAACTGCTCTAGATTTACCTGGGTAGGGTGGGGGGAATATATACCTAGAAACAAGAAAATAGCTGATGCCACCCTCTAGTGGCAAAATGCAGCCACACAGAATCTTCACCAAAAATTCACTAAATTCACATATGATGAAAAATATGTAAATTTCCCCCCAACGAAATGCCTTATAAAATTAGGTTGCATTTTTTAAGAGACAGGGTGTCGCTGTGTTGCCCAGGCTGGAGTGCAGCGGCTATTCATAGGTGTGATCTCGCTACTGATCAACACAGGAGTTTTGACCTCCATTTCCAACCGGGGCTGCTTCATCCCTCCTTAGGCAACCTGGTGGTCCCCAGCTCTCCAGGTCACCATATTGATGCAGAACTTAGTGCAGACACCCATCGGCATAGTGCACTATAGCCCAAACTCCTGGGCTCAAGTGATTCTTCCACTTTAGCCTCCCTAGTAGCTGGGACTACAGGCATGAGTTGCCACACTCAGCTCATTTTAATTTTTTAATTTTTTGTAGAGATGGGGTCTTGCTGTGTTGCCCAGGCTGGTCTCCAACTCCTGGCCTCAAGCATCCTCCTGCCACGGCCTCCGAAAGTAATGGGATTACGGGCATCAGCCACTGCGCCTGGCTTATGCCTGGAATGCATCTTATATCCCTGCACATCATAGGTAAAAATGGTCTTGTGGGTATCACCCATTTTAGCTCTCCCAGAAGCAGAAATGTAAGGTATCCTCTTAGATGCCTCCAGGATAGATAAAAATAGCAAACATAAGGAGGGTACAAAATGCTAAAATATACAACAAAATTCTGCACTAGAACTATAGGAAATTACTCAAGTCATGTTCTAAAATTATGAAGTTAAGCAAAAGGCTCTTTGTCCTCAATCATTCAGTACTTTTAACAGTTCTGTGATGAACTGATAAGAATACAAACCGATCTCAGCATTGTGTTTTTCTGCAGGACACACTGATATCGACTAAACAAACAATCATGGCACTAGTTATTTCCTTTGAGTTAGCAAATATTCCCAGAATCCCTAGTAGTAGCCAAGTTCAGTGCAACTTCAAACCTGCCCCGCTGTGTTTTTTCTTCATTAACTCAAGAGAAATTGGCAATTTCAACAAAACTGAAAGGGAATCCGAAAAAAAAGTGTGTTTTCTTTTCCCATAAGCCTAGCACTATGCTCTCTTTTGATGATGATGTGGATCTCAACAGCCAGAGTACAGCCATCAACTTACACATGGTTTTGGGGGTCACAATAGGCCTCCTCAATCTTCTCCATGGACTCGAAGTCTTCCCACTTTTCACGGAGCTTCTGCCACCGGTAGGGCAGGTCGTAGTGGTCTTTGTCACAGCTGTCTACAAAGACAGAGAGATCTGAGGGCCCTTTCAGCAAGGATTCTAGTGAATTCAACCAAGTTCACTGCCAGCTTGCCCCATCCTGGCCTGCCTTCGCCGCCCTGCCAGACAGCTCCCATCTCCACCTTCACTCATGCTCCCCTCCCCCATATCTACTGTCCAGGTTCCTTTAATACCCTTGGAGACTCATCAGAAAACTAAAATTCCCCACTCCCCAAAAAGTCACCTTACCGACATGGAAATCTGAGGTCATTATAGATTTATAGTTATCCTTTCTGGACTCCCCAAGTGTATATATTAAGATAAAATGCTCTGTGGCATAGGCAGCAGCCTGTATTTCTTTGAAGCCCTGGCCTATAATTCATCTCTTCCAGAAAGATTCCCCCAACTAACCTCACTCCACTCTCATTAGACTTGTATTTTGTATTCTCTTAGCCAGGACCCAACACCCAACGTGGGCTTTGTTACTTATGTTTTTACTTTATGCAGTTTTCTCATCTGCAGATGTTTTGATGCCTCACCTTAATTACAAACTCACTAAAGAAAAGGCTGCATCATTGTTTAGCTTACATCCCCTTTGCATACCTGGCATAGGGCAGGGCACATAAAAGATGGCCATTAAAGGAACACTGGCTGAATAGCGAATTAATGTCATGAGCCCATAATACAGGAAGAAAGAAAGTAGTTCTGTTTTTCAACATTTGTGTTATATTTAAATCGCTTAGAGATTTTCAGAAAGATGTGTGATTACTTTAAAACACAAACAGGCAGGTTCAGAGACCACGGGGAAACCCACAGAGTGGCAATGCTCAAAATTTGGCTGATTCAAAAGTACACAGCCACGCATTATAGTCCACACCTTACGCTCATGAGAATGGCTGCTATCAAAAATAAACAAACACAGAAAAATAACAAATGTTGATGAGCATGGGGAGAAATTTGAACTCTTCGGCATTGCTGGTGGAAATGAAAAGTGGTACAGCCACTATGGAAAACAGTTCCTCGAAAAATTAAGCATAGAAGTACTATATGATCCAGTGACTCCACCTCTGGGTATGTACCCAAAACAACTGAAAGCAGAGTTTACAGCAGACATTTGCACACCCATGTTCACAGCAGCATCTTTATTTTTCTTTTTAAGAGACAGGGTCTCACTCTGTTGCCCAGACAGGAGTGCAGTGGTGCAATTACAGCTCACTGCAGCCTCAAACTCCTGGGCTCAAGCGATCTTCCTGCCTCAGCCTCCCCAGTTGCTGGGAGTACAGGTGTGAGCCCCCACACCTGGCCAACTATTAAAATTTTTTTTTTTCTTTTTTAGAGAAGGAGTCTCCCTATGTTGCCCGGGCTGGTCTCAAACTCTTGGCCTTAAGTAATCCTCCTATCTCAGCCTCCCAAAGTGCTGGGATTACAGGTGTGAGCCACCGCACCTGGCCTATAGCAGCATTATTTAAATGGTCAAAAGGTAGAAGCTCATAGAAAATCCTTATTTTACTCACCATTGAGTTGACATCCCTTATGCAGATGGTCAGGACAAATTTTCTCTAAGCTAGGATCATGCACCCTAGAAGACGTGGTACCTGCAACATCAGATATGGAATCTATAAGACAAAAGTGGATGCATGTAAGCTGATATTAATGTTTAAACCAAAAATCAAGACACCTGGTCTCACAGTGGGAAAGAATATCTGAAACGGGGGCCATGTGCAAGACAACACCTGTGATTCATGCTCCTGAGTGTCTAGACAGTCTCTCCCTAAGATGAAATGTGGACATTAGAGTCATGTGACAGCTATGTTTATTTCTTAAACCATAGTCAAACTATTCCTATTGTCAATAAATATAGCAACTTGCTCCATGTGTGGTTCTACTGGTCGGTCCTTCCCTGTCTTCATAAGTCAGCCTCCTCTCTGGTACCACCCCTTAACCAGAACCCTCTAACTCTATGCCCTTTAAGAGCTGCAGTGGAACATCCAAGGAGAAACCACCAGCCACAGCCACTCTGCTGCACACTCAAGAGTCTTTCCCTGACTTACGCTGAGCAGAGCCTGGGGTCCTCCTTGCAGACTCACTGGCAGGGGGAAAAGGGACTTGGGTGGAATTCTGACCAAGGGTGCCACAGGCTGCAGCTCTGTTGCTTGAGGAAGGTGACTGAAGCAGGGTGCTGACTAGTGCAGGGGCAGTGGTTTCTCCAGGTGTGGCTGGGATCTGGCTTCTCAGACTCTGACTTCCAGAGCATAAAACATCCTTTTCCCCAATGACAGCTGTTTTTAAGCCAAAACCAGTGGCACCAGTTTTTTCCATTACTACATTAGTAGTTTTATCTGTAATTTCGCTAGAGCCATTTGGTGCACTGTGAACAGTTTTACTAGCCAAAAATGTCTTCCCTCCGTATTTACCGTTAATAAATGCCACTCCTGCATTATCACCTTCCGTAATTTTGCCAGTGGTCTGGAGATCCCGGGAAGTAGGTCCACTGTCCGGATTCCTAAGTAGTGGTGTTTCTCTCTGGCATTCGTTGTAATTGAAATATCTTGCAACAGTTACACCAGTGGCCCCTCCATCAGCGTTATTATTAAAAAGAGAAACATGCTGGATATCTTGAGTTCCACTTCTGCCCTGGACGTCCCTCAGGTCGGAGTAAAGCATGCCTGTGTTCTTTCTGGTGGTCACAGCTTCAGGTGTTTGTGCAGAACCGAGAGAGCGGGTGGCAGTTAGAATTGGAGAAAACACACTCTCGTTCCCGGTGCCTTGGTCCTTCGGCCAGGGTGTGGGGTCCTTCCAGTTGGAGGCTGGTGTTGAATCGGAAACAAGGTAAGTGTTGCCTTGATTCCCATAAAAGAGGCCTTTTGGACTGCCATTCTCTGAAAACCTCTGGCTTGCCCCGCCCTCACCTGCTCCTCCAAGATCGGTAGCCTTAGCTGAGGCTGAGGAGGGCTGAGCGCAATCGCGAGTCCCCAGATAGGTGAACTTGTGGGTGAGACCATCCACAGGCACGTCATCCCCGGGAGCCCTGCGGCCCATCGGATCTGGACTGGGCGTGGAGGACCTTTGGGCGGAAGCTGCAGCCGATGGCAGAAATTCCTGGCTGCCCTGAAAGAATCGCTCTCTACTTTTGCTTCTAGCTCTGTATGGCCCGGCTCGACGATGTGAGGAAGGAGCTAGGAAAAAAAAAAAATCAAAACGAAATGAAATAATGCAAATTAGACTTAGTGTGACTGAGTTCCTACCACCATTCCTCTTCTTAGCCTTTCCACCTTTGCTACCCAAGTTCTATCCAATTACTTGTCCTAACCTGGTGTGTAAAAAATCTTGAGGATGGGTGGTTACTACGATGAAAGAATCTTGACATTCTGCTAGCACAGCAGAGAACATCATTCCATGGCCTAGGATAAGATGTAGACCCCAAGCCCCAAAATTCTTATGAAAGACAGGAATTGATAGTAGGAGAATGTACTTCGTTTTATATAGAACAAATTGTCTGAGATTAGAAAAATGTGTTCTCGTTGATTCTAACTGATGCCATTTGCTTCTGTAACCGTGCTCGCTTTTAGTTGTTTGTTAAATATAGCAGTAAGAGCAGGAGTGACTCCATGACAAGCTGAATTTCCTGGAATAGGCCTAAGTTTCAGTTTCCCCGAAACCGAAACGCGGACCACAACTGGCGCCGGCGCGAAAATTGAAAATTCCGGGGCTTGGAGCCAACCAATCAGGAGTCAAAACAATCAGCCACTTTCAAAAGAACCAATGGACTAAGGGGAGAGGGGGATGGTGTGCCCAGCGTGTCGTGTGCCACCGGTGTGCCGTGTGCAAAGAAAGTATAAAAGCTTCACTTTTACCCCAGGCGGGGTCCTGGTTCATACGGAGGCCACTGCATTGGTGCTCTGGGACTTGGACCCTAGCTTGAGCTAGCCAATAAACTCCTTTGCCATTTGCAGCCTCGGTGACTCTGCCTCTCTGTTCCTGGGGCCGAGGGGAACCGGCTCTAACACTTAGGTGGGGGTGTCCACTATCCCCGGTTCCAAGTCAACATTCACCATTATGGTGAATGGAGAGACAGACTAGGGCAAATCAGAGAAGATTTTCCAAAAATCATTTCAATTTTGCCTGTATTGTAATATGGGTACCTGACAATTTAAGGATTCACAATACTTAAACAGAAAATGAAACTACATTCTAAAGGTCTGATTTTATTTAAGTTAAAAATTTTTCCAGATTTCTTTCTCTAGCCCCTCCGCGCCAATTCCCAAGAGTAATATCAAAAGTCAAAATCGACAAAGCAGTGGCCTGGAGGGAATTGGCTTCTGGCTAGAAACTTGATGAGTCACGCCCTCCCGGAAGCAGGGCGGAAGGAAGGGGTGAGGGTGTGTGTGTGAGTGCGTGTGGAGAGTGTGTGCAATGTTTGTGTGTGTGTGTGTGTGTGTGTGTGTGTGTGTGTGCACGTGCACTGAGGGTATGTGTGGAAGATATTGTAAAGGAAAAATTGAAATCTCGGGACCCCCAAAACTCATAATGCCAAAAGGGAGACCAAGCCTGAGAATTGAATCACATAGCACTGGCATCCTCTGCGCAAAACGAATAGCTGCGATTTACTACTATACGCCGGTTCCCACAACAGCAAAGGTCCTTTGCCCCCCGGGGAACTGCCCAGTTAGCCCTAAAGCCTTTCAGGGTATAGGGCCCCTATAAAACATGCACATGCCAATTACAACCTTACAGCTACAACCCAAATAAATCCTCGCTCCTGAGTTCTAAATTTTACACCGACCAAGTCATTGCAAGTTTATCTCCACAGATGTGAACCGAGGACAGATTGGATCGGCCACTCCGCCGCCGACTGTGAAGACGGCATCATTGACTTTCTTTCCCTCTGCTCCCTTCTTGAATGTTCACCTTATCTTATGTCAAATGTAGATGTACTGAGCACTAATTAGAGCCTCCCAAGCATGTAACCATTTGCCTCACTGCCTGCCTCTCCCCGTTCCCTTTCTCTTCTGTGTGTCTTCTCCTTTCAATACCCCAGAGCCTCGTGGCCTGTGCAGAAGAGGTGAAGAATTTTATGAAGCAGAAAGATTCCTTCTCGGCCTGTGCTTATCCTGGGTGCGTCCTTAGACTGTGACATGATAAACCTCATTTGAACGTGACTCTAGGTTTGGTCACTTACTATTTACCATTGTGCATGTCTGTGTGTGAGGCATGTGTGCATATATGGTGTGTGCCTGTGCTCATGTGTGTGTGTGCTACTGTGTGTAGAAGAGAAATCTTTTTTTTGAGACAGAGTCTCACTCTGTTGCCCGGGCTAGAGTGCCATGGCGTCAGCCTAGCTCACAGCAACCTCAAACTCCTGGGCTCAAGTGATCCTCCTGCCTCAGCCTCCTGAGTACGTAGGACTACAGGCACAGGCGACCATGCCCGGCTAATTTTTTTCTATTTTTAGTTGTTTGGCTAATTTCTTTCTATTTTTAGTAGAGACAGGGTCTCGCTCTTGCTCAGGCTTGTCTCGAACTCCTGAGCTCAAGCGATCCTCCCGCCTCGGCCTCCCAGAGTGCTAGGATTACAGGCGTGAGCCGCCGTGCCCGGCCGACATCTTCCTTTTGTCAACAACATGGTTAACTTGGTAGATTAACTAGAAGTGATACTAAATATGGATCTCTCTCATACACAATGCATTGACATTGAGAAACTACTCCAAAAAACATCCCTCCAGACACTCCCCTGTTCAGAAACCACTGTGGTGTGGAGAAAAAACATTAGATATGGAATTGGAACATGTGAGCTCTGCTACTTCCTAGTTTCTTGAAAATATTACTTTTTATTTATTCATGATATTACCCTCCATTCTTCTGAAAATAATCTAAGGCTGCCTACAGTAGAAGTTGCTTAAAATTTCTGAGCCTCAGTTTCCTTACCCGTTAAATGAGGCTAATAAATGATATATATGCCTTTCTTCATGGTTTTGCTGTGAGAAACAAAGATGAGATATTTTGGGTGAAAGTCATTTGTAAACTATAAACCATTTCCCAAATATAAGGAAGTGTAATTGTTCGTTACTTTTTTAAAGAATCTTCGAATCATGTATTCTATCTGTTTCACAAAATTCTTCACTTCTACATATACTTCATAAAGACATTAAAAATTAATACCATTATATAATATGAAAATGCTCAAGAAATAATATCACTTCATACCCATTAGGATGGCTGTTATCAAAAAATAAGAAAATATCAAATGATAAAGAGGATGTGAGAAATCTGAACCCTTGTGAATTGCTGGCAGAAATGAAAAATGGTACAGCCGCTATGAAAAACAGAATGGCAGTTCCTCAAAAATTTAAACATAGAGGGCCGGGCATGGTGGCACATGCCTGTAGTCCCAGCTACTCGGGAGGCTGAGGGAGAAGGATCAGTTGAGCCCAGGAGATTGAGGTTGTTGTGAGCTAGGCTGACGCCATGGCTCTCTAGCCCGGACAACAGAGCGAGTCTCCCGTTTCCAAAAAAAAAAGAAACATAGAATTACCACATGATCCAGCAATTCCATTTCTCATTATATACCCAGAAGAATGGAAAGCAGGGTCTCAAAGAGATATTGGTACACTCATGTTCACAGCAGTACTATTTACTATAGCCAAAATGTGGAGACAACACAAACATCCATCCCCAGATGAATGGATAAACAAAATGTGGTTATATCTACACAATGGAATATTATTAGGCCTTAAAAAGGAAGGAAATTCTGATACATGCTACAACATGGATGAACCTTGAAGATATTATGGTAAGTAAAATAAGCCAGTGATATTAATAAAAGGACAAATATCATCTGATTTCACTTATATGAGGTACCTAGAGTTGTCACATTTATAGAGACAGAAAGTAGAGTGGTAGTTGCCAGGGGCTGGGGAAAGGAGGGAATGAGGAGTTAGTGTTTAATGGGTGTGGAGTTTCAGTTTGAAAAAATGAAAAAGTTCTGGAGATGGATGGTGATGATGGTAGTACAACAATGTGAATGTACTTAATGCCACTGAATTTTTACACTTAAAAATGGTTGAAATGGTAAATTTTATGCTATGTATATTTTACCACTTTTCTTTTTTTTTTTTTTGAGACAGAGTCTCGCTCTGTTGCCCGGGCTAGAGTGCCGTGGCGT